AAAATCAACATGAAAAATTCATCCGCATTTATTTTTTGTGTGGAACACAAAAAAATCAAATTTCAGTCTTATTTTACATTTTTTTCATTCTTAGGAATGTCTAAATTCAGTTAAACTAGCAATTCCGCTAGCAATTAGCAATTATATTTATTTAAAATCTTTATAACATTATACAAAAATTAGATTTTTCTTAAAAATTGAAATTTTGCCGGGAATGGGGCTTTAATGCAAATAACAAGAATGTTGGTCCTTAGAATTACCAACTATTGTAAAGTTTTACTTCAGTCATGCGGAAAAAAAAAAACTTAATTAAAAACCTATATCTTGAGTTATAGTTGACCAATTTGAATGGATGAGGTTTCGTTGTGTTTCTAATTTGTTGCTGCTTACTCTAAACCAACCTAAAAAAAGATGATTTGACTAACTTCATTTTCACCATTTCTGTCCCTACATGTGGTGCCTACCTAGGCCTATATAGCAGGTGGCCTAGGGCCTAGGTTCCTCTTCTTTTCTACTAGGCCTTCACCACTAGTACTACCCCTCCTACATGCAGGCTAGTCTAGTGCCTACTTACTACCAGAGTAGCTTGCTAGGCCTAGCAAGGGGATGGTATGGCCTAGGCCTACTTAAGTAGTGAGTAGAGGCTTTAAGCTAGGCTAAGCCTAGGCTACCTAGCTAGCCTAGGGCCTACTAGCTTTAGTTATGATTTAGCCAGAGCATTTAAGGAAAGACGAATATCGGAAAATACTTGCTGTGTTGATAAGTCCTCATGGTCCACGATTTGATGAACGATGATATAATCAGGGTTGCCAGATAGTCGACAGGCGCGCTTTGCTGCAAAACACACCATCTCACGGCAAAATTTCGGTCAAACATTTTTTCGATCGGCCAAAATTCGGCCAGATTTTAATCCAATTAGAAGACAATAGTGGACATATAATATTCATTTAAAATACAAAAATTACACGAAAATCAACGGCCATCTGTTTGAAATTGAAGAAATTAAATGGTATACACAGAACAATGTTAATCTTTTACTGTTCTTATAATTAATTTAACACCATAAATTAAATGCCCGCAGTCACATTACTAAATATGCTCTTTGATTATAATTGATTTAAATTTATTAAATAACATACAGTGTAATGATTTTTTCTAGATAGTTTTAAGGGGCCTGTTATCGAATCTTTATATGGCAAATCCGTGGCTCGCTTTCATTTAGAATGAAAGTTATTACATAGGCAACACAAACCGGTGTTAAATATTTACACAAGCCTATGAAAACTAAATACTTTTTATCTAAACTTTCTGAATTCGCCTCTGAACGTTACTCTTGCAGTACTTAAAACAATAAATCATTGTCGCTAACATAATCATCTTCTTCGTGATTCTCATATAGGCCTACAACTTAATTCTAGAGTACTTCGAAGAAGCCTGCAACACCAATCGAAATTGGGGGGGGGGGGCCATCGGACTCGAATGATCACATCGAGCATTTATATGGCGCTCTACATAGCAGCAAAGATACT